CATTTCTTGAAACATCTGTCTCACTGCAGTCCGCTGTATTCATGGAAGTATTAAATTCTTGCTTAAAGCACTCAGAGGGTAGAAAGGTGGAAATCCATATTTTTTGGTATGAAGGTGTCTTTAAAAGAGGTGTCCTGGAGAATGATGACAGCAAAATACTTGCGCTTTGTGTTTACTGGTAATTCTCAGGTGTGTAAATGGATTATTATCCTTGAATTATGCACAGGTGGATTTATTTGCTGGGCTTTGCATTGGAGGTCAAAGATGTAATAACACTGATGCATGTGGCTGTGACACGCAAATCTTTGAATAGGTGCTGTTTGAAGGTGTTTGTAAAATTAGGTTTTGCTATGGATCATATTTGTAACAGTGAAACTTTACCACTGTATCTGTAACAGAACATCCCAGAGGCTCTCCAGTGTAACCAGCGCTGCTCTGCCATCTGTCACCCAACACATATAGTCAGGGGTGTCAGCTTTTTACTTCACCTATTAAAAGTGTTCATCGCCTTGAAGAGCAAATCTGGGTTGACTAATCCAGAGTATTGATTATATAGCAATTAAATGTTTTCCTGTTAAATCAGTCTGCACAGGTCCACTGTCTCTGTGGCATACTCTGTGAACACCATAAATTGAAAGGTCAGTATGTTCTCTTATGTAGAGACTCCAGAAAATAATAAATGACCCTGTAAAAACCCAAAACTTGTAGATAAATGCATTGGCTTATATGTAAAACTAACTTTATAGTGTCACATTATTACAATAGAATTGCTATCACAAACCCCTGGGGTCCTTATACATGTGTGGTTCTTATATTGGAAAAATAAGTGGAAAAAGGAGTCTTAATATGCACCAGATTGAACAAAGTAATAGATGTCAACATCATAAATGTGTCTGATATATTAATCATGAAGATTTACACTTTATTTTATAAGGAAATGACAAAAATGTTAAAAAATGCCCTTCACATATTTTAATGTCAAGAAGAGTGATGATAAATTCTTGAATCTGCCTCTTTAATTGGATCCAAACTGCACAAAGTGTGTCCATTTTTAAAGTTCTTCCCTTTAAGCCAAGAAAATGTTTTAGATCGTACATAATCCCTAACCCCACTGTATCATCGTCAAACATATCAGGTAGAAGTCGGCCTTGAAAAGTGCTCCTTCTGCTTTGACTCTGTAACTAGTAGTGTGTGTTGGTGTAGTTTTGCCCCTCGTGCAGGTCAGTGTGAAGTTTCCCTCCTCTGCTGGTGGGATGAATCAGACATAACACTTCATCACTTTCCAGGTGGAGTAGGAGTCAGGGCCAGGAACCGTAACTTGTCATCAGAAGACATGACAGAATGAAAAAAGCTGATTGAAAGTCCTAGGACCGCGGCGTTTCAGCTGAACTGTGGGTGTACCACTGAACTTGTTATGCACCTAGCCACAGCAGAAGTACGCACTCAATAAGAGCATGCTCCACATAAAGCCCTCATCCTGCGCAACCTGTGGGTGTACACATAAATGGGGAGAAATGAAAACCTTCAAAATAATTGGCTTCATTTCAGCCTGTACTTCTTGTTGACCTCAAAGAGGTAACAATGAGTGGGGGAGTGAATGGCATTTTTAAAAATTTGCTTTCCTGCTGCCACATCCCTCTACCACCTCCTCCCATCCAGGAAATCACTTGGACCAAAAGTGAGTGGTGTTGCTATTTTTCCCCTGATAGCCTAAGGAATTAATTGTGTTAAGTGGGATGATGGACACCAGCAGTGATTCATGGTGTTTGGGAGACTGCAGCTGGTGACAAAGCAACCATGTGTACAATCAATCAATCAAGGAGACGTAAATGTCTGCGGAGGTGGATTTAACATTGTGATGTAATTCTAATTAGAAGGCCATCAGGAATGCATGGTAATTATAGTCAGAACTTGACACATTTATTGTTTTTTTTTCTTTCACACACTTTTTTTTTATCATTTCACCTTCATGAGAGACTGTGATGTAGCACTCTGCTTTAAAACAGTTACAACTCATCGATATAGTACCTCTTTCTCTCGCGTACCTTCCATTCTATGAAAAGACACAGCGTTTGCAGCCATAATACTGCTGATCCATGCTGAGGACTCTGTTACTGGATTATCATTGTTAGCATCGGCCATCTGTTACCGTGTGAGAGGATAACATGGACAGGGAGGAACACACAGTGGAAAACAAATGCTTGTGCACCCACAACAAAACAACACGATAGGAAATATACACACTAAGACACACAATGCAAGGTGCACATACACAGGAAGAAAATGCATCAGAGATTAAACCAATGAACATTTGCATCTTTTGTGCTACTTAATCCATCACAGTCAGATTAAAACACTGTGTTTGACTTGTTTTGATTTTGTATCATTTATTTCCTATTTATTTATTCACATTCCGTTTGACAGAATGGAAACTAAGATTATTCTCGGTTAGGTCGACACCACTCTCATATCTATATGGTACATTTGATAATGGTTAAAGAAGTTAACTGCAGTCTAGTAAGATATCTGACTGATAATAGTAGCTTCACATTATTGTACAGACATGAGAGTGGAAATTATATTTTCAATCAGCAATAGAAAAGAGAAAATGCCTATTTCCCCCTCCCCAAAAAACCTGTTCAATTTGCCTGCACATAACAGAAAAGTGCTATGCAAAAGCTTATTATTATCATAATTATTATTATGTTTTTGAATTATTATTATTATTTTAATATGTGCATATCAAGGGTATTGGAGAATATAAATGAGTCTGTCGCTGTATGTCCTTACACCTGTAATGGACTGGAAATCTGATAAAGCAGTGTATGCTGAGATACCATCCAACTCATGACCTTGAGTAAGAGTATGCAAATGCACCAAGAAGGCAACATTTTTTTCTGCCATTAAATATTATTTGATGCTCCATATTTTTTTATACAAGCTCGCCTTGTACAGCCAAACCTTCAAAAATACTTAGTTGCATGTATACCACGTTGAACAGAAAAAGAAAAAAACTTGACTCAAACAGTTATCTGAAGCCGTTTCACCTAGTGTGTCTGTGTGATACTGTGTCATTACTCATCATAATACTTTCAGTGTTTTTTTATTATTGCCGAATGGCTATATTGTTTATTTGAATAGTTGTGGCGTATAAATGATTGATGGTGTTTTGTGCTTTCTTTGTCTGATTAGAATCTCTTTCTGTTGATGAGTTCATTGAGACATTTTCCCTCAGAGACGACAAGCTGTATTGTATTTGTGGAGTCATACTCACATATGAGATCAATGTTTTGATGAAGTCAGTCATTTGCTCTGTAAATCCTGTAAATACAATACATTCCATGCATGCAATTACTAGATTTGATGACATGAACTATAGATAAAAAAAAATTCAATTTGAAATTTGCAAAGGAAATTGAGATGTCATTTCACGATTCTCATATGCCAGTTTAATTATCCAGCAGAAAATAATGACCTCATAATGACATCATGTCTGCAGCATTTCACTTTAATGTAATGAAGTGAATTATCACCAAAATGTGGAGTATGCAGAATTTATTACACACACTTTAATCCCAGTCAACACTGTCGCCTCCTCAGCTGAATATTTAATTTCTACAACAGATTTAAAATTAATACACACTTAAGGTTGTCCCATCAGCATACTGCACATCTTAGCTTGACAAATGAAGGCTGATGAAGCAAGGTCAAAATGATACTCTGAATGTGTTTTTTTATTTTTTTTTTAACGATGCATCATAAATATGAAAGCACCTTTTGTTCTTCACTCTGCACAAACCGCTTCTCACTACGGCAGGAAACGGTGGCCTTATCAGTGAAGCATGGCCGCAGCCTTCATGTCATTTACGTCTCATCAGTGTTGTTCCTGGTGAGGGATGATACTTGATATTCAGAGGGTAGCTTTGTCTCCTCAAATTAATCAGCTGCTCCTGTTTTCCTGTGCAGAGGAGAATCACCAGGGAGATGTAGAAATTGTTGGTGTAATGTACAATACTATACCAAAGGCAAGCTGTGAAATACAATCTGCATGAATATGTTATGTTGGCTTTTGTCTCCAATCACATTTCAAGCAATAGACTGGGGATATCGGTTTGGGGTGATGATTTGGATGATGGGCAAAGTCATCAGAGAAAATGGTGGCGACTGTGATTACAACCTCTGTGTATTTATCTGTGTTGATTTAATATAAAGGTTGCGGAGGGAAAAAAGAAAACGTGCTCCCATGAGAGTGAACATTGAATTTTCTCTTGAGGCTCATAGCTTCATTAGATTATCACAGCTTGGATGGCAGCAGCTTTACATTAAAGAGCTCTGGAAACCCTTGATATACACCAACAGCTTGTAGTCTCATGTGTATATTGCTGTTGTATCTGCTGTTGTTTTAAATGTTGTCTTTGCATCGCTCCATATCCCTGTGCTGCATGTTTGTGGCGCATTTTCTATTTTTCCTACATTGATGGGTGCTTAAGTTACACAAATTCACTGCATTTTTCTCTGACTAACTGATTAATATTATTTTACACAGTAAGAAGATGGTTTGTGGGAAAAAATACATGCTTCCCAGAGACATGTTTAAATGTCTTGTTTTATATAAACAACAATCCAAACTCCAAGGTGTTCAGGTTTTTTTTAAAAGCAGCAAACCCTGACATTTTAGAGACTTGAACCTTTAAATGTTTAGCATTTTTCTGGATAAATGACTGAACATTAGCATTTGATTTATTATTTAAAAAATTTAATAAAATACTTACTAGACTGTCCTTTTTTCTTTCAAAAAGGACACAGCGACTCAGAGCAATACACATGTAGAAGACAGTTTTTTATTTCAAAGTAGAAAGCCAGTATTGTGGTGCGCCTAATTCAGTTGTGTGTCAGAAACTAAGTCTCAGTGGGGTGTGTGGCATGTGTGGGTGTTTTTTTCCTCTCCACTTTTTTTCTTCTCTTACATCTCTAAGTATTGACTGGATTGTGTTTGACAGATATGGAGTCTGGAGAGCGCCTGTCCTCCCCATCTTCAGCCCCGTCCTCCCTTCACATGGCCTCCTCTTCAGCCAGCTCCTCCCCTGCACCACCCCAGACGCCATCCACCAAATGCAGCCCAGCCCCTAAACGTGCAGGCAGTTCCCCTCTCACTGCCTGTGGTATGTACACTCACCAAAATTGTTTTCAGAACTACTTATAGGTATAAAAATCAAAGCACATGATCAAATGTGACTCACAGGTAATTGTTTTAATTTGATTTTAGTCAGGGTATTTGATTATGTTGCACACATTTTGGTTGAGAAATAATTTGATGCAGGTAAAGGTTTGAATGTTAGTGGTGCTGCAAACTGCATTCACACACACCCACAAACAGCCAAGCTATTAAGTGTACGGTGAATGACCATTCTGACTGACTAGCTTTTGAGAGAAAAAAAATAGAAGCAAATCTATTCAGGGAGGCTGTCCAACTAAAATCTATGCAAAACACGGAATTAAAACTGTGCAACAATAAGGAGCTTAAGACACCTTCCTCCAGTCTTAACACGTAACAGACAATTTTGATAGGAATGGAAAGGCTGTTGAATTAATGAATGCCAACAATTAAGAAGCTGTGTACGCCCTTGTGGATGTCTTTTGACAACCTTTAGCTCCAGTTTATCCCGTGTGATTTGACGTGTCTGTCAGTCCTCACACTGCGCATGCAGCCGCCAACATCCTCTTGTTTTCTCTGAATACTAATTGTGGTCAGAGCCATTATGCATTGAGCACGCAGCGATGCATAAGCTGTCAGATTACCCCTGACCACAAAATAATGCACAAATTTACATACCCTGGTTTGTGATTTTTTTTTTCTGTCATTATAAGATGCCCCCAAAATTATTTTTTTTGTCAAGCAATGACAATCAGGAACACATTAGAGACATTCTCATAAATTATTCATTCATAAGCCCCTAACACCAAAACGTGTACAGAAATTTCCCCAATAATTTATTTTGGACTGAACACTAAATACTGAAAGTACACTGGCACCTTTGTGGTTGCTTCTATGTATGATGGTGAACACCCCTTTGATTAGAACTACATTCAAGTGTTTATACTCTAAAAATCTTTGTTATCCCTATCCCTGGGTGAGTTTATCTAAGAAACTTATATGCATAGTGTCCCAGTCCAAATTGGGATATGACCTGGTCATTTTAAAGTTGGTAACAGTTCCTCTGCAGCAGGAATTCACTATCTAAAGCTGAAGCTAAAACACCTGTGTGGTTTTAAAACTTCCCCACTCCACATTAACATCAGTTTAATTGTCGTTTTGCAATTAGTGAGGATTACAGTTAGAGGTTAGGGTTAAATACAGTATAAAGCAGTTATAGACAAATACACATAGAACGTATTGGCTATAGGTGGTAAACATCAATTAGTTGTATTCAAGCAATATTTTTTTAAATATGATTAGTTGTGCCACCCCCAAAATTGTAATTATTCTTGGTAATGGTTTTCAGACTCTGAATAGACACAATAGTCTAAACTGTGTCTGTTATTTGCTGAAGCAGTTTTGAACAGATAGTCTGCTTTGTCTTTTATTGTATGTGAATAGACGAGAGTATCTAGATATACGTATGGCCTATCAAGATAGCAAGAATGATGAATTCATCACTTGATAAAATCATTTCTTCTCCAGGCCCTTTGCTACAGATGACGGGGGATGCGTGTTTAAATACGTCTGGAAAGTCCAACAGTTTTCCCTTAGTAGCTCATCCAGCTTTTGGGCTCTACACTTCAAGTTTAGGACGATCTGAGTTTGGAGGTCTTGGAAGTCTGGGTTTATCTGCCTTTGCTGCTCACCCCCAGTTTGGTACATTTCCAGGTAAGGAAGCTCAAGATGCTTTTAATAATTGAGGTGATGTGAAATGTCAGCATACAGCAGCATGCATTTCCTTATGTTGTCATTGTTTATTTTGATGGGGAGAATGAATATGTTTTAAGCACAGTATTGTACATTTACTGTAATAATTTGTTGTGTGCATTTTCAATGACAAAATGACGTAAACACTGAAGACTGTGGCTTTCTGGAAACTGTATGTAACTGGGAAATGTCAGTAGATGTGGTGAAACTACAGAATTCCAGATCAAATGCAAGACCATACTCTGAACTGAGTGATTAGTGCTGTTATTGAGTTAGATAAACGGCTGCTCTCCCAGCTTGTTGACAGATTGAATTCTCTGTATATCTACAGCAGATAGAGTGGCTATTTTTGACTTAACTGCACAGTGTCTCGCTCCCACACTCCAGACTGGTTTTGGCCATCTGACGCACATACCAGAGGAGCAGCAGCCTTCTTCCCTCCTCTTCTGGGTCTGCATCCTGTATTTACATCAGCCTTCAAGAGCCAAGATCCTGCGCCCTCACAGTCCCGTACGTCAGGTTAGCTCCTGTTCTAGGTCATACATGTTCTAGCAGTTTACAGCAGAGCAAACAATGAGTCAATAAATGTATTTTTCTGTCCTTTAAGGCAGCAACAAGGACGTGTCACTGAATTGTGAACTAGCAGGCAGCAGTTAGGTCCTTGCTGTAAATGTAAATGATAACACTATTGCCAAACTGCTGTTAATATTATGAGACTAACCCTGCAAAGTGTTACTGGTTTAAGTCAGGTTGATATTCTCTCTTACACTCTTTTATAGTTGTCCTTATGTGTTTGACTCATGTTCACCTTGTGAATTGGCCATCTGAAAAAATGTACAATGCCAGTTTCTGCAGGTGTGAATGGAGCAGTGAATGGTCGGAGCAGTTCCTCTCCTACTGGGAACTCTGCTGTGGACGCCAGATCATTTCCAGCAAAGGCAAACAAGGATCAAACTATGGTCAACAGTCATCCAAAGAGCAGTCAGGACCCAGGCCAGCTATTCCAGAAGAGTGTTCAGAAAACAAAAGAAAAGGTTAAGTTTTGGTCAAGCCCTTAAAGGTCCTTTCTTATTTAAAGAGTAAGTATGAAAGTCCACTTCACTGATCTGTTTAATTTTATGTGGAATTCTTTTGTTACTTAGAAACCCAGCAAAGGACCACTAGAGACCTCAAGCATGAGTGGCAGCCAGTCAGGATCCTTATCAGATAGCTCCAGTGATGGTGAGGACAGCAGCAGTGATGCTGATGACATGGAGGAGGAAGAGGAGGACAATGATGAAGATGAGGATGATCAGAGCAACGACAGTGAGGACTCTGATTCTGAAACAGAGAGACAAGTTAAACAGAAAGTCAAGGTAAGGCCAGGGTGTGTTAAAATGCTGTTGCCTGTGTTTTAACATTTAATATTTAACATTTTAAAAAGCTTCTTTACAAGAGGTTATTTTTGTAAAGTTTTGTGTCTAACAGATTTGTAAAATGTCTGTGTAAAGCAGCATTAATGGCAGCAAGCTGGATGTATGTGCTAAGTGACAGAGCTGCCACAGTGAAGCTTTCTCAGCAGGATCTGACATGACATGCTGTCTTCTCCCTGTTCTCCTCATCCTCCCACTCAGCGGCTGACACAGAACACTTTAGAGAGTAAAAAGAGGAGATCTTGCACTGCTGATGGAAATCCAACTCAAGACAGTTGTCGTGATGGTGTCTCTTTGACTTCCTCGCACCGTATCCAGCCCTCTTCTCATCCTGCTGGCAGGCCTCAATCTGCAGCTCTGTTTCTCCAGAGCTCCAAGACTGCGGAGGAGGACGGACAGAAACACATTAGTGTCATCCAGGCCACAGGGCTGGCAGCCATTAGCAGCAGTCCCTTTTCAAAGTCCCACAGGGAGGTCTCTCCTCTGCCCTCCAGATCCTCACCCAAACCTATTTCATTCTCCAACTCACCCAAGCACTTACCTCCTGCTTCACCAAAGCCCTTCTCTCATTCGTCCTCACCAAAGCGTAGCTCTCTCTCCTCTTCCCCCAAACCTCTTGCCCTTTGTTCCCCTCTGAAACCCCTGTCTCTGGGGACCTCACCCAGACCTTCATTTCTTTCTTCACTCAAACGTCCCTCCCTCTCCTCTTCACCCAAACCACCCACATCGTCAGCCACACAGAAGCCCTCACATAAACAGAGGGTTTTGATGCCCTCCTCTAAGCACACACAGGCTGTTGATAACCCAAAGGAGAGCAGTGGAAACCAAGATGAAATCTCATTGCACTTCAACAGTTTTAAATTAAGACAGGTGAGTTATCAATGTTATTCTCACTGCTGCATTGCTGCTGGTTTTCTTGTATTTTGGAATTCTATCTAATGTAAAGAAAGTGAATTCCTGTGTTTCTTTCCCTTTTGCAACAGAATGAGCTCTGTTCTCATGTATTGTCCATCATTCTCGCTGTCATGAAACAAATCAAAATCAGTGTGTTCTGTAACAATAGATGATGAATGCATAAACACTATTTTTAGTACTTTTATTATACCACACGAGAGTCTGTCACTTTAGACTTCTAGTCATGCGGTGGTCAATGTGTTTAGCTCTATTGGGAAAACTGACAAGCAATTAGCTCTGTTCTGCTTCAGGATGTTTGTTATCAAGAGAGATAAATTGGCCTTTTTACAGGACTCTGTTATTGTCACTGCACTGAGAAGGAGGGAGAATGTGGCAATCTGTAACAAGAGCATTTCAATTCATATGATGGTGGTACATTAAATACAGGCTTTTGGTTGCCAGAGCATGACAATAGCAACAAATGCGAGATGACAGCTGAATCTGCAGGATGGCACTAGGCCAAACAATTTGAAAATATTTTTCCACAGCAGCCTTTTTTTTTCTTCATTGTAGTTGACAGCTGTGAGCCTGCTCTTCATTGTCCCTGTCTCTTATTACACCTTAAATTCCTTCATTCACAGCCCACAGCGATGTATTGTGAGTGACGGTTTGTGTAATTACTTCATTTTTTTCATTTGTTTCCCTTTCTTTTGCATTTTTATTTAGCCCGTCCATCCCAAGGACTCTTTAAAGCAGCCTTTCTCTCTGCAACTGTCCAGCCAGAACTGGTATGAAGTCACATAAATTCAGCATCCTCTTCAACATTGTTCTTACCACCTAAATATTTGTCAGATATATTGAGTAGTCATTTGTTGTCTCTCCCACACAGCAATGACACCAACCTGTTCCTGAACCCTCGTCCTAATGGAGCATTCCACAGCGAAGTTCAGGATGCCCCCTTGGCTCTCATCACAAAACCCCGTAGCCAGAGCAGCACCCTCAACAACAAGCCACTTGTGGCCGCTATTAGCCCTTCCTACCTGATGCCCATCAACTTGAGCACTGGCACCAAGGAACCATCAGACTCATCTTCACCGCTTAAATCAACAGTCTCGCCACAACTTGCTCACGGATCGAGGAAGATCAAGAGCCCAAAATCTCTACATGCAGGAAGAAGTCTCCTGAAAACCCACTCATCCTGTCCTCAACCTGTAGAATTGGTCAGAGGCAGTGAGTCTGACATCCACAGCAGCAAGGACTCTGACTCTGACTCTTTAGGAGATGACTACGATGAAGATGATGAAGATGATATTGATGAAGAGGATTCTGGTAGTAGTCTATCAGGTTAGATTTAACACACCTCTCTTTAATACATAAATGCCTTTACTGATATTTAGTGCAGATAGAAGCTGTTAGATGAGGCATCTTTGAGAAATTAGCAGTGCTTTGGATGGTTTGATTGTTTGAAGAATGCTAATTAGGATTTATTTCTCCTCTTTCACTTGTTTTTCATCTGTCACACTGGAATTCCCTGCAGAGTCAGAGAGCAATCTGGAGAGCGACTCTGACGGCTCTGAGGATGACATGAAAGAGCGCGCTGAGACTGAAGCAGATAGTGATGCAGAAAGCACTCCCCTGAAACAAGCGAAAGCACCGCTGTCAGCTCGCAAGTCCTCCTCGAACCTCTCAGCCAACTGCTCCCTGCTCAACCTGCAAGTCATCACGCCACCTAGTTTGTCCAGTAGTCTACTCACCCCCAACAGACTGAGCAGCTCAAGAGCTTTGAGCAACCACAGCACCCCCTCCTCATCCTTCACACTTACCACACTGCCAGGTAACAAATACATCCATAAACTACAATACAGCTTGAAATTACAGTTGACTAAGATTCTTAAATTTCTGCTTCAGGCTACAGGACAGCATTGTTTTCTCACAATGTTTATTTTCCACCCATTTTTGTCTCCCTATCTCTTGCAAAATGATACTTATTTTTCTTGTATAAAAACATATATGTACAGTATCTATCTTAATAGCTCCAGCTCTGTGGAAGACATTTGTTACATCATTGTTTTTTCTCCAGCAGCTTTTGTTTTAATATCCCAGGCAGATGCTTTATGAATCTGATACTGGATGAGTCATGGAGCATATTATGTTACATAACATAGAACAATGTAACTTTCATAAATGAGATAGTGTTTATTTTATGTTGTGTTTAGTAATAGAATCCATCTGCCGTGAATGACTCTAGATGAACATAGAGACATTTATACACTTGTTTGCACTTCTCTGATGTATAAAAAGGTCAGAATATTGTTTCTAACTTTTTTGTATTGATATGCATACATGTATGGTATTTCTAAATTCCACTGCCCTGGATCACGTGGTCGTTTATGTGAAATTATGGGACGTGAATTGTGCGATTCATGTATAAAAAAAACTATCCGGAACAGACTGGTCTGTCTATCAGTTTGTCCTTTTGTGGGATGTTGTAGATTTTCAGTAGTGTGGCTCTTTTCCTTATTTTGTGTAGTGTAATTTTCGTTCAGGTTGAAGGTGCTGAGTCATGTCTCCTGTTTTTAGGATCAGGGAAGAGAAGGAGAGTGACAGATGAGAGAGTTCTACGGTTACCTCTTGAGTTTGGGTGAGCTGTTGTGCATGAAATTCATGTTAAATGAAACTAACATTGTTTGGATGGTGTGACCGTGTCCCGTCCTTCCTGCTGTCATACTTGCTGCACTGTTTGTGTTTCCGCTATCGGTGTTATAGTTAAATGTCAGCTCACTGAGGGCTGACTAGTGGCCTTTTCTAAAAGGTCACCTATGGCCAACTTTTCTTTGTGGGGCTGCATCCCTGTTTCTGGGTTTTTTACATGCAATAAACAATTGAAAACAAAACTTGACACACACACACACACACACTCTATCATTGTGTACTTAGTTATCTTTCCACTCCCAAATGTAAATGTGGGTAAATATTAGACTGGGCACAAAAGTAGTAATCACGCTAACTTTTAAGTAATGTATAAAAAAATCATTATCAGCGTTCCTAATTTGAGTGCAGTGGAATATTCGAGTATTAGCAGACCACAAAAACCCTTCATACCTTCCTTTAAGGGGCCTTCCCAACCCAGTCTTGGGCTGAAGGTCACAGTGGTCCGGAAATGAAATGAGGCCCAGCAGTTCGACTCAAGGGGTTAATTGCATCCAGTCTCAACATAGACATGCAACATTAGCTGCTCCCTGCCCGCAAATTCTGCAGCATGGGATCAGAGCAACCTTTCATCCGATGGGGATGTTTTTCATCAGCAGGTTCACAGGAAACAGGCTGCTCGACTGTATTTCAGCCCCTTCTCTGTCTGGGATAACAGACTACATGTGTTTTTTTTCCTAAGTCATGGCTGCTCTCCAGTTGATCTCCTGGGGACTGAGGGGTTGCCCCTCTTGGCCCATGTCCATCTAGGAGTACACAGCTGTGCAGGCATCCATTACATCATTTTCCTCCTTGTTTCCATTCTGGTTTGAATGAGAGAATATGTATCTGACCCTGAACAATATTATTCAATTGTGGGAAATAACTATTGTAAGAAACCTTAATTTGAATATATATATATATATATATATATATTAATGATGACTGAATACAGCTGTAACAACATTCTAATGGTATTGATTTCATGTTAAATATGTGGTACTTGGTTTGCAATTGTGTTTGTTCAGGTGGCAGAGAGAGACTCGGATCAGGAGTGTGGCAGGTCGACTTCAAGGGGAGGTTGCTTACTTTGCACCATGCGGGAAGAAGCTTCGTCAGTATCCTGATGTAATGAAGGTGAATCCACAATTCATGGAAAAGTAGATATAACATCTTAAACCATGGCACATACTCACTGCGTCACTGCAGCTTTATGTAATCACGCACCAGTGAAAATCACAACATTTAACCAGTTATATAGCTCAGAGTACTTCCCATGCCTTAATTATAATGTATGATTCTTTTGTCTGCAGTACTTAGTACGGAATGGAATAACTGAAATCTCACGGGATAACTTCAGCTTTAGTACAAAAATCAAAGTTGGTGACTTCTATGAAGCCAGAGAAGGACCGGAGGTAAATGTTTCTTGTGTTTCTAATAGACATGACATATGATCTTTGATCATGGTGCATTAGAATTCACATATAGTATGTTCACTTTTATTTATTCTACACAACATAAATACAAAATACATAAATTAAATTATTGTGAATGGCTCTTTAAAAACTACACCCGCAAGATATATACGAAACAGTACTCCAACTAATACCATGATGTTTAAACAATGATGGAACTTTACATCTGTGTTTGTTTTTAAAACCTTTTGTTTGAAAGGAATTAAGCCAATGTACCCACATTGTGCATAAGAAGAATTCACATATTTCTTGACATATCTATCAAAGTTAATTTATGATAAATCTTAAGCATGAAAGTTTGCTTTCATTGATTAATGCAATCAGTAGATACAAGTCAGTCTCACCCTTTTTCTTTCATTTTCTTTAATCCTTCTTTCTTCTTTGGAATATCACTCAGGGTCCACAGTGGTTTTTACTGGCTGAGGAGGAGATCACTCCCAGTATCATAGCGATGGATGGCCGTCGCAGCCGGCGCTTGAAATCTGAGCACCAGCCATCAGGTGATGGCACTGACGGCCAACAATGGAAGACTCATCCTCTAAATGTTGGAGAAAATAACTTCCAAGACGTCAGTAATGCCAAGCTGCTCCGCAAACTGGAGGCTCAGGGTCAGTGTACATCTTTGAAATGTTTCAGTGTTTTGTGGGTTGTTTGCTACAATAGAGTTTACTTCCAATATCACTTTCTAACAATATCAGTGGTGGATGTTTTGGTGTCAGCACAACAAAATCAAATTGTAAGAGTTGCACACCTTTAAGAGGCAGTCTTAAACATTTGACACATAGAGCAAGGTTTATCACCCATGGGGCTTTTTTCACAACTTTCTGTCTTGTTGTTAAGACCTGCCAACCTTCTTTGCATTTTTTCCATGGAAATAAAAACCATATGTTGTTACAAACTTCAGGCGTTTCTCTGGAAATCATTAAGAAGGACTGGGGTTGTCTGCAGGTCAATATTTTACTAAACATTTCAACTCCATTTTGGTGTGTGATTTCATATTCCATCGTGTTTCAGAAATAGCTCGACAGGCAGCTCAGATCAAATTGATGAGAAAACTAGAAAAGCAGGCCATGGCACAAGCAGCTAAGGAGGCAAGGAGGCAACAAGGTAAACAGCCACAGTCTCGTCAGACTCTTTAACATTGGATCAGATTCTGTGTGTGAACTTAACTTGTTTGTGTTTTCTAGCAAAAATGGCTGCTGAGGAGAGGCGGAAAAAGAGAGAGCAGATGAAGATTCTCAAACAGCAAGTAAGATTTTTTTTTTTCTGTGCAGAGCTTCCCAACTATCAGCTGCCACTCTGCTCTGTTGTATTTTCAGAATTTGTGCAATCTCAAGGTTTTAAATTGAGAAAGAGTTAAATTGCTTTGAAATTCAACAAGGAAGTCGCTCTCCTTCAAAATGCTGCACCTTCCTCCTCTGCATAGACCCACTGTGCTTCCTCACCCCACACCCTGCTCCCCTCTGCCTCTCTATAACATGCATGACTTAACAGTTAATTCATTTGATCTTGCCCTCATCCTTTTACCAGGAGAAGATCAAGCGCATTCAGCAAATTCGAATGGAGAAAGAACTCCGTGCACAGCAAATTCTCGAGGTTCGTCCTGAAAGTTATTGCAGAAACATTCTAAAACACTTCCTTTCTGCTGTTGATAGGATTTTTTTTTTAAGCCAACCAAAGGCTATTCCTAAATTATATCGTCCCACTTTTGGTCACATCCAGTGAGTACATGTGACTAATGCTTAATTGGTTTTTTGCAAAAGTGCCATTGAATATGAAAATCTCCTCCGACCGTGATGGAGCTTAATACAAAATACAGTATTTCATTAAGTAAGAGGTGGCCCTGCGTTTACCATGGCTAGGTGAAATTCCTATTTTGCATTCTCTCACTAATAGAAGCTGTGAAGTATTTTAGCTTTAAAAATCAAATTTCAGTTGACACACATGGCAAGTGGCTCTTAACAGGATTTCATTGGGGGCTATAATTACTGATTAAAATGTTGCTTAATTTATTCTTACTGCCTGCTGGTGTTTCGTAATAACTACTCTGCCGCTGCCATTTTGTCTTTGAGTTTTAATGGGAGGGCATAATCATCTCTTCACTCCGCGTGTCAATATGTTAGATCTGATATTACCAGTGAGACACTGGCTCTATTTAGCTTCGTGTGGAATATTTGCTATTGATGGCATTAAGCAAACTAATACCAAAATTAAACTGAATATTAAGTAAAACGCTTAAATATTCCTTTCAAGTATTTCGTTTTTTTCATGTATGTTTCATGTTTTACCGGTAATTGAGAAAACTATCTGTTGATTCATTAATCAAACATTGCTGCCCCAGTTAAATGTTAATTTATCTTTGCTGTCCTGGACATACTGTAAGAGTATCAGTCACCTCTGTTTCTTGACCTTTTTGCATATACAGGCTAAAAGAAAGAAAAAAGAAGAAGCAGCCAATGCCAGAATATTGGAGGCCGAGAAACGAAACAAGGTAAATAATAATAAAATTTATGAGCAAATTGTGTTGCATCTTACCGACTCTCTGCCTTGTCGGCCCCTGTAATGTTTTGGCCCCATTGATTATGTACGTAACACAGCGAAGATATCTGAAATGTTTCAGGATGCTGCTGAATAGAATGAGAACGCTCAATATTTCTGTGTGCTTTGATGTATATGATGTATATGATATAAGAATAAGTGTGAAATATATTTTGGTTTCTAAATGATCTGTTCTTTTTCCCAAAGGAGAAGGAGATGCATAGACTGCAAGCTGTTATTATGAAGCACCAGGTGGGTGTTTTAACCTCAACTAAATTATTTGAATAATATCTGGAAGATGGTGTCTAACAAATTAATGTACAATATATAAATTCTAATTTAATTTGGGTTCTTTAGTATATTTTTTTAACTTTTAACTATAGGTTGGATTTTTCTTGCATTGATTTTCTTCTGTGATTTTTCTATCTTCTAATTCTTTGCCAACTCTTCCTACCAGGAGTTGGAGAGGCATAGACTAGATATGGTATGGGTATGTTTGTTTCTGTACATTTAACAACATATTGTGAATGTGTTGTGATAATTGGTTGCCATCACAGCAGTATGTTGTGCGTAGTGTTGGTTGCTGTCATACTACATCCCTCTGCATGGCTTTTCCAGATCAGGGCACTGCATGTATACATCTGTACTATTTGTCTCTCAGGGAAAACACATCCATTACTTCCACAAAATGATCGAAAAAGGCTCGACTGCGCAGAATTTATACAAGGATGAGAAGATTTGTGATATGCTTAAAGAATACTGACTACATGTTAAATTGTTTCTGTTTTGGATGAAATACATTTTCACGCCTTTTTCACCACAGCATGTGAGCACGACTTATCTATTGTCCCATCTGGAAAAGTCAATAGACAGTGATGTATCTAGTTTGTGGGGAGAGTTTAGGAGCCATGATTGTGGTTGTCTTCT